ATCTGCAAACAAACCGAACACATGGTGGCGGCAAACTCCACTCCAACAAACATAACCAACTGAACCCTCAGAGGCGGAACAGTGTGTATACGCATGCGCACATATATAAAATTGTGCACCGTTCGCCTCGATGTAATTTCATCGCTCCTCCTCCGTCGATATTCCCTCATCGCTCTCTCTCCATCGCTCTTTGGTCACCACTGTTTTACCATCGTTATTTCTTCATCGCTCTTTCGCCATCGCTGTTTTTTTTCCATCGCTCTTTCTTCGTCGATCAAGAGAGATCGATGTAGGGGAACGTTCGATCGATGTAGGGAACGATCGATCGATGTAGGGAACGATCGATCGACGTAGAAGAACGATCGATGTGTTGTCTCCATGTTTTTGCCTCTTTGGCGTTCCATAAACCTCTTCCAGCACCAAATAACACGTGTTCCCCTGTAACCTAGCCCACCAGCACACAAAGGCCACCCGTGTTCAGTACCAGCAGTCTGGTCCGGAACCAATTGAGTTGTCAGATGGGTGTTTATATCTAGTTTCCTTGTCATGAAACCACTCAGAATATTTTCTATTTTCCCAAGTTCATTATGGGTCGCTCCCTGTGGGCAAACATATTTACTCCAGGTGGATACGAATTTTATTTTCCACACTGACAACAGCCTGGCAAAACCGGCATAACCGGTTGAACCAGTGAAACTAATCTGTCATTCATTGACCTACTTATCTAGCTATGCACTTCCATAACACTGATGAACACTCTATTCCCTTCTGAATTTAAAATATCTTGATCTAATTTGTCAACTTGTTTCAATACGACCCTTTCCTATGAACATAGGAATTTACCTGATCCCCTGTGACCCCAATCTAGTACCAATGAAGTCGAAAATAACAAATAAAATAAGCATATTGTTAAACGTAAACAAAGAGAGCATATTGTTAAGCGTAAACAAAGAGAGCGTTTAATCTCGGCCGTCTCATTGATCCTAAAAGACTGTCGCCCGGATGTTTAGAGAAAACAAAAGATTAATTCGTAGCATTTGAACTACAACCGCCTATACAATCTCTGGACATCATCGTTTGACCGATGAGTGAGTAAGAGAGGATTAAAATGAACATACAAAGACACTTCAGAAGTTTTGTAACCTGTTTTTACTACAAATGGAAAAAATAGAAAAACGTGAACATTTCTTTGGTACTCTGTAAGCATTAACTAAGAGTAAGATAAACTTGCGCCAGATAATGATGTAGTGTAATGATCGATGTAGGGAACGATCGATCGATGTAGGGAACGATCGATCGACGTAGAGACGGAGAGAACCCCCCCCCCCCGCCGCAATTGGGTTGGTCGTTGTCTCGCAAGAATCTGGGGAATTCCTTTC